ATCTGTTTTTCCTTAGTTTTGCCTTTTTATCTTGTTTGCTAGCTACTTTATCTTTTATTTTGCTTGGCTTAATGCCCTTTTCTTTCCTGCCTCCTTTTTCTTTTCCTTCCACATCTCTGATGTCTTTTTCGATCTTTCCCTTCTTGATAAACTCCACAGCCATTCGGATGATCAGAACAGACCAGTACGAGTTGAGCAAAAAGACTCCCAGCAGCAGCCCCCATATGGGCACCAGAAGCATGGACCCAAACTCCCAAAGAAACCCGTACCCGGGGAATAGCACCATGTACAAATATATGAATATTCTTGGAATAATGAACATTCCTGCAAAGATGATAAATAAAACATTTCCAAGGCTCTGGTACCCAAGATACACAGAAATCTTTGCAGAGTCCATCCACGGATCAGATATATCGTGCAGCAGCATGATGAACACTCCATACCGCAAGAAGTTGTATCTGTACGAAAACCCAACAAGAAGCAGAGTGACAAAGTGGTGCCACACCATAAGATAGAAGTCAGACTGCTTTTCTTCAAAGAACATCGTGATAAAACTACCAGAGTAGTAGACTGTTTCAATCACGTAGTAGTTATTTATCCGGCTGGGAGTCTGGTTGTTGGGCCACTCCATTGTCACGCCAAGCGGATAGTAGATCCACGACTCGCCTGCGAGACAGTATATACCGTATAAGCTCAGGGTGCCAAAGCAGACGACCTTCCACAGCGCCCGAGTGAACTTTTTTCTGTCAATATCTGCAGGATTTTTCACTCTTGCGAGCTTTCTTATTATGAGCTCTGAAATGGTGGTTTTTACTATGCGGTGGAGTATCGTATAGACAACAATGCCGCAGACGTACATAATTATGTCAGTGGGAAGTCTGATGGCTGGATCTAAGGATCTATTTTCCCATTCTTTTCGCATGGTTTTTATGCTCTGGGCGTATAAGAAGAGAGCGTGAAACAATGTTTCACATTTATTTTTATGAAGAAGCAAAGACAGGAGGGCATACTTATTCTCGAAGACATTCTGTCAATCACCGAAGAGCTCTTGGTACTATCAAAAATAGCGCCAAACGACAAAGAGAAAGACATACACAGAGAAATAAAGGAGGGGTTTCAGCTGAAAACAAAGACCGAGCTGCTAGTGGCGGCTGTGTCGTCTCTGTACGATATCATTCTGGAAATAGAAACAGACCAAGAGTCCAACCGGCTGTGGAAGAAGGCCGAAGACAAATCTCCACACATAAAACAGAAAACACAAAATAAACAAAACCTGATGGCGTATTTAGATACGATACAAGAAACAAAAAAAGAAGAAAGCAGAACAGAGTCATCACCTGCTGCCAGTATTATAGATAGCACTGATTAGGCTCTTTAAAAGAGAGATGAAATGGATAATAGCAGAAGTATCACAGCTTACAATCTTCCATTAATGGATAAAAAGAATAATCCGAGAATAATAACTGGCACTCATAAAAAGAAAAACTAAACAGCCATTGCATTGATAGATAAGAAATAAGACAAAAAAAGATAAGAATTGTCCGGCGCGCTTCAAATGAATATATTTCACTCTGTGAACTGCATTGCAGAAAATAAAAACAAAAATGGAATAGCTCCTATAGTGTATCTTTATTAGGCCGTCTACTTCTTAGAATAGCCTCATTTAAAATATTTGTGCTCTACCTCTCACGCCATCACAGCATCGCATATTTGTGCGTCCATTCCCTTGCTATTCGCATGTATTCTCCTCTATTCTCAGTGTACAGTTTTGAAATGTTCGTGTCCAGGGGATCCGCAGGGTTTGGGTCTGCGAGTAGAGAGGTTATCGAGAGCAGAACCTTCGAAATAGTCAGCGCAGAGGACCACTCTTTTCCTATGATGTCAAGACAGATGTAAGTGTCTTTTATGTTGCAATGGAATATCTTGGTGCCCACTCTTACCTTCGGCGGAGAGTAGGGATAGTTCAGAGGGAAGACAATGTCAAACTCAAAAGACCCTCCTTCGTACGGAGTGCCTTCTGGCCCAAAAATAGTTGCCTTCCACACGAGTAGATTATCAAAATCAATAGGCCCAGCACTAAAACACGCACTTGTGTCATTGCTCATCTCCGAGAGGTCATTCAATATTCTTCGAATATGCTGCCCGTTCTCCTTGTACTTCATGCACGCCCGTAAATATTTTGCGTTTTGCTTTTCTTCCTTTTTTATTTTTATTTTCAAACACTTATTGTTTCATATTTTGCAAGCCATGAAACCGAAAAGAAAGAAGGCAGCCTTTGCACAGACGTCCCCTGCCCTCCCGTACGAGTACAAGCTAAGAAGGTACAAGGCGCGGAAGGTAAGAAGGGAAGAAAGCAAGGAAATAGACGAGCTAGAAAGGTTTGCAACACACACAGCCGCAAGAAAACAGGAAGAGTCAATGGCGCACGCAGCGCCCTCGCAGAATGTCGTGCTGCGGAGACATTTGAGAAAAAAAGATCTTGAATCAAAGATAAAAAAAGCAGCACAGGAGGCAGATGGAACGCACACTCCCCCGGCTCTGCACCATCTCGAGCTGCGCCCAGTGTACGAGCCACCCGGCAGCACTGTCTACACTTTTGACATAGTCGAGTGGGAAGATGCCGTGGAGAATGACAAAATACCCTTGAAAGACGCTGAGGACAGACTGCTCTTGGACAATGCATACGATGAAATCCAGTGGGAGCAGAGAGTTCTGTACGATGATGCCTGCCCTAACTTTCTGCACATGCCCACCCATCTGACAATCGATGCAAGCGATAAAAACCTTCTTTTTGATATTACCGATAAAGGAGAAGTTTGCAAAGAAAAAAAGAAGGAAAAAAAAAAGAGACACACACGGCCCCTCAGCAAATACAACATATCCGGAGACAAACACTACGCAGAGCCGCACGAGACACAGAAGAGCGCGCTTGGCATCCAGGGCGTGCAGCACTCCATTCCTGCGCTCAAGTTGGCTCGAGAGATATACAAAACTTACCTGACAAAAGAAGAGCTGCGATTCTTCCACAGGCCGCCCTTGCACATCCCAGCAACTACGGAGATACGCTTCAGTGCGCTAGCAGAGAGCACAGCAAAGGCATCATCCATCCTGAAGAAGAAAAAAGAGCTCACACTCAGAGACACAGCATCGTTTGTTCTTCTCGAGTACTCAGAAGAAATACCCCCGCTGATCATAAAAACAGGCATGGCGAGTATCATCACCACGTTCTACCGAAAAAGCACAGCAAAAGACACACCGCCACACGATGCTGAGATAGGAAGCATGACTCTTCTGGAGCCTAAAGACCCGTCACCCTTTTTGTTCATAGGAGACGTGCAGCCAGGCGATGCCTTATCAGGCATTGTAAATAATCTTTACAAAGCACCGATTGTATTCCACGGATCGAGTGATCTCTTGGCAGTGCGCACACGGGGAGATAAGGGCGCTTACTATGTGAGGTGCGCAGGGCGTGTGGGGTGTGTGGGACAGACTCTTCCCCTGGACGAAGCATTCAGCCCGCACTCCAGGAGACACAACGTGTTTTGCAAAAACAGAATGAAAGTGGCAGCGTACAGACTGTTCTACGAAAAGGGAAACAGAGAAAGAAAAATGCTGATCCACCAACTCGACGAGATGTTCCCGCACTTCAGCGAAGGAAGCAAGAGAAAATGGCTGAAAGAGTATGCAGAGTGCATTAAAAAAGGGAAAGAAAATGTGTGGGTGCTGAAGCCCAGTGCGTCTCTTCTGAGCGAGGAAGATCTGCGCAGAGCTGTAACGCCAGAGAAGGTGTGCCAATACGAAAGCATGCTGGCTGAAGAAAGAAGGCTAAAAGACGCAGGAATTGTCCTCGCAGCAGGAGAGGATGAAGAGCTAAAAGGAGAAGAGGAAGAGCTGAAGCTAGCCGTGTGGAACTGCACGAGAAACTTTGTGAATGCAGCTGCAGGGAAGGGAGTGCTGGAAATATCCGGGCCTGGTGATCCAACGGGCATTGGAGAAGGATTCAGCTTTGTAAGGGCGAGGAGACAGAGAGAAGCTGGAGAAGAGGAGAGAAAAACCACCCTGGAGCAGGCACAGGCGTACAGAGATGAGATACGCAGAATATGGGATGCGCAGATGGCTGCCCTGCGGTGCGAGAAAGTGCTGGAGGATGATGCAATTCGAAGAGATGCTAAAAAAAATATTGCAAACGAAGGTAAGAGCGATAAAAAAAGTGGCACAAGTGAAACAAAAAGCGATAAAACACAAAAAACAGCAAACCAGCCTGCAAATAAGTCAGGCCGCATACTGTCCATCACTAGAACCGTTATGTCAGGAGATAAGAAAGTGCAGGAGACAGAAATAGTCACAGACCCGCGGGTGATAGAGGCGTACATGAAGGCGAGGAAGAAGCAGAAAAAAGAAGAAACACGCACATCCCTGCGGTGCGGATCGTGCGGAGTGGTTGGGCACATGAAAACGAACAAATCGTGCATGAACTACAAAGGAAAAGCAATTGAAAAAAAAGAAAGAAAGAAAAGCCCGCTTCTTGTGCTGAGTGAAATCATCCTGGGGGTTATCAAGGAGCTCTTTGCTGTTCCATTTTCGGTTGCATTCCACCGCCCAGTCTCTCTGAAGAAGTTCCCGAACTATCTTAGCTTCATCCCCCACCCCATAGACCTAACCACAATGAAGATAAAGGCCAGGAACAGCGAATACAACACGTACAACGAGTTTCTGAATGATATGCAGCTTATGAATGCCAACTGCAATACGTACAACGGAGCAGGGCACTCGCTTACGAAGATATCAGGAGAAATGCTGGAGATAGCCCTGGCAGCGTACAGCAAGAACAAAGACGCAATTGCAGCACTGGAGGGCAATGGACACAGCACGAGCGAACAATGAAGAGAAAGTTATAGGCAATGAGCGAGTTAATAAAAATATTATTTTTGTAAGTGCGCTGCAGTTAACTGTTCTTTTTTCTTAGCAGTTTTGCCAACTGAAAATCTAAGATAAAATTTATTAAAATTGCTAAATATAGCCCTGGTAGCAAAAATTACCAAATGCAGACAAAAACAGAAACGGAAAAAGATCGATGAGATGTTCAGTGTTAACTACTCAGAGGAAAGTAAACAAAATCAGTGTACTATTTATTCATTGTTCACTCGGCAGTGCTGCCTCCTTAGCTCCCGCAGCTCAGACAGTCTCCATCAATGGGGCACCCTTCTGATCTTCCTTTCTCTTCCTCCTGTTTCTGCAGGAACTCCTGCGCCTGCTGTTTGTCCACTGTAAACTTGATGGCTGCCTGCGATGGCTTTGTCCTGAGGTAGTATGTCCCTGTCTTAAGGCCTTTTTTCCATCCGTAGAAGTGCATGCTTGTGAGCTGCGCAAATGTGGGCGTGGCAATGTGGATGTTCATCGATTGACTTTGGTCAACAAATGCTCCCCTGTCAGCTGCCTGATCAATCACTGCTTTTTGCTTTATCTCCCACACGGTTTTGTAGAGGCTCTTGATGTGGTCTGGGATGCTGGGAATATTCTGCACAGATCCTTCGTGTTCTATGATGATATTCTTCATCTCCTGTCCCCACAGCCCAAGGTCTGCAAGGTCCCTGACCAGGTGGCTGTTCACTATCTGGAACTCTCCCGATAAGGTTCTTCTCGTGTAGATATTGCTGGTAAATCCTTCAAAGCATTCGTTGTATCCGAGAATCTGCGATGTGGAGGCTGTGGGCATAAGGGCAACAAGCAAGCTGTTGCGCACTCCGTGCTGTGCAATCCGCTTCTTAAGTGCAGCCCAGTCCCATCTGTCAGTTGGCACTACGTTCCACATGTCGTACTGCAGTATGCCTTTGCTTACAGGGCTCCCAGCGTACGAGCAGTATGGGCCCAGAGCCTCAGATATCTCGCAGGATGCCTCAAGTGCTCCGTAGTAGATGGTTTCGAATATGTCTCTGTTCAGATTTCTCGCTTGCTCGCTTTCAAAGGGATACCCCATAAGAATGTACACATCTGCCAGGCCCTGCACTCCTATGCCTATGGGCCTGTTTTTCAGGTTTGAATCGCGTGCTTCCTTTAGCGGGTACTTATTCACATCGATTATTTTGTTGAGATTTTTTGTTACAATCCCTGCAACTTTTTTCAGCTTTTGGAAGTCAAACTGTCCGTCAACAATGTACGTAGGGAGAGCGAGAGAAGCCAAGTTGCACACAGCTACCTCATCAGGGCTGGTGTACTCTACAATCTCAGCGCACAGGTTGCTTCCCTTGATGGTTCCAAGGTTGCTTTGGTTGCTTTTTTTGTTGCAAGCATCTTTATAGAGGATGTATGGCACGCCTGTTTCTATCTCTGCTTCAAGGATGGCCTTCCAGAGCTTACGTGCAGGGACTGTCTTTCTCGAGATGCTTTTGTCCTGCTCGTACTGCGTGTAGAGCGCATCGAAGGCCTCACCGTACACTTCGTGCAGGTCTTTTGCCGTATTGGGACAGAACAGCGACCACTCTTCGTCATTCTCCACTCTGTGCATGAACAAATCGGGTATCCACAGGCCGAGGAAGAGATTTCTTGCACGCATTTCCTCCTTTCCTGTGTTTTTTTTGAGGTCAAGGAAGTCAAATACGTCTGTGTGCCATGGCTCCAGATATACCACAATCGATCCTGGCCTTTTGTTTCCTCCCTGATCAACGTACTTTGAAGTAGCATCGAAGACTCTCAGCATGGGAACTATTCCATTCGAGTGCCCAAATGTCCCTTTGATATAGGTTCCTGTTCCGCGCACATTCTGGATGTTCACTCCTATCCCTCCCGCGTGCTTGGAGATAAGTGCGCACTGCTTCAGCGTGTTGTATATTCCTTCGATCGAGTCGCTTTGCATGGAGAGCAGGAAACAGCTGGAGAGCTGCGGCGCAATGGTGCTGCTGTTGAAAAGAGTGGGGGTGGCGTGGATGAAGTGTTTGGTGGACATAAGCTCGTACGTCTCAATCACCGCATCTATGTCGTCCCTGTGGATTCCCAAACTCACACGCATCCAGAGATACTGCGGCCTTTCCACGATCACATTCTCTTTTGACTTCAGCAGATAGGATCTTTTGAGGGTTTTTATTCCAAAATAGGAAAAGTCAAAATCTCTCTCGTTTTTTATGGCGCTGTCCAGTCTCTCTCTGTTCTTCATAACTATCTCTATGATGTCATCGGAAATGATTTCTGCCTTCATGTTGACATTTTCTTCTTTTGCGCTGCTATTCTCTGAACTGCTTTCACTTCTTTCCGTCTTAATGGGATTTTCTGCAAGAAGAAGCATGCTATCTGAGAACTTCTCCGGGGTTGTTCTGTGCAGCAGCGATGCTTCTATTCTTCCTGCCAGGAGGGAGTAGTGCGGGTGGTTGGTGGTCATGTTTGCTGCTGTTTCTGCTGCTAGCACGCTTAGCTCTTCTGTTGTCATATTATCGCATATGCCTGCTGTGATTTTATCTGCTAGTTCTGATGTTTTTACGAAGGTTGAGTCCAATCCGTGCGCAATCTTTTTCAAATATTCGGCGAGTATTTCCTGGTTGTATTCTACTTTTGCTCCTCTTTTCAAAATGGTTCTTTCTCTTGACATTGTAATAAAATAGCAAGGGTAAAAATAATTTCACTTTCTTGTTTATGGTGGCATATGGAATATGAGTGGTACGAGAGCAGAAAAACAGCAACAATAATTGCAGGCGGGGTAGAGTGGAGAGATCTCAAGGAAGTGAAGAAGGAGGGAGATTTATTATCCATCGCAGCAGGAGAGAGACTGTACAGCATACGAATACAGCATGACTACACTGTAGAAAAGCACAGAGTGTGGGATGGCAAGTTGGAAGTAGTTCTGAGAAAAAAAGAGGAAAAGAAATGGATGAGCTTAGAGGGAGAAAGAGTGCTGGCATTTGAAAGACAAAAAGAGGTGCCTGAAGAGAAGGAGGTGCTTTCCAACGATCCTGTGATGAATATGCTGATGGAAGTGTACTCCAATGCCCCAGAAGATGCAAAGAGAGAGATGAACAAATCGTTCTACGAGTCCAAAGGAACAGAGCTCAGAACACACAGCGCCCCTCATAAACACACCAAGAAGTACGAAAGAAAGTAAATGAAAAATGAAAGAAATTAATCATAAAAATAATAAGGTTTCTATTTTTCATTATTGCACCAAAATAAAACAGAGGAATAATGATTTACTATTTATTTTTAATGAACTCTTCAATAATGGATAAGAATAACAGCTCCTGTTCTATTTTCATCCTTTTGCATCTTTTATTCTTTGTTTATTGATAGATAAGTTTGCTATTCTCGGATTACAGCGTTCTATGAGAGCGGGTCTATAGTTGCTATTACTATGTCCGTATTCACCCGGGAGAGAATGGAGAAGTGCGGCTCTGTCACGCTCTTCAGGAGGCCATTGGCGAGCCTTGGAACGAGGAATACTATTCTCTTTATCATCGTAAGAAGCCTTGGGGTTACAGTCACTCTTTCTGCTGGAGGCTTTGGCGAGTCTGTGATGATTGTTACAATGTCATTAGAGTCGATTATTGGTGATTCTGGGAATATCGATGCAATGTGTCCGTCATCTCCTATCCCAAGGAAAGCCAAATCCACTTTTGCATTTTGGAGAAGCTCTTTGTACTCGCTCACCATCTCATCCTGCGGTATCGAAGTATTGTACGGGTGGACTGCGCCTACACCCTGCAGGAAGAGCTCTGCGTCTTTGTAGTTGCTCTGAGGGTCTGTCAGAGGAACGAGTCTTTCGTCTGCGAAGAAAACTGTCCATTCTCTTTTGTTAAGCTGCGCAACTGTGGCGCATTCGAGTATTCGAAGTATCGACCCTCCTGATATCATCAGAGTAAGCGGCTTTTCATTGTACTTGAGCAGCTCTTCATACACTATTGTTTCGAGACTGCTTACAGACAACTTTGTTTTCATAAATAGAAGAAGGAAGAAGCAAATTTTTATGTCCAAATTAGACCCAGAAAAACAACTGTCTGAAGTCTGTGTGGATCTAAACCCAAACGAGCCTGCAGAGATAGAACAGCCGTGCATCTCCTGCGGTGGCCCGGGGGTGCTCAGGCTGCTTATTGTCCCGGATATGTTCTTCCCGGACGCCCTGGTGAGCACTTTCACGTGCAAATCGTGCTCCTTCAGAAATAAGCAAATGGATGAAATGGACACATCATTGAATGGCGTGCGCATCACGTGCTCGCTGGACAAGACGGAAGATCTAAGAAGATACCTGATAGTGCCTGCGCGCGCTAAGATACGGCTGGACTCTGGGGAGCGAGGCGTATCGTACGTGCAGACTGAAGACACAGTGACAACAGTTGAGGCGCTGCTTCGGGGAATATTTGAAAAACTAATTTCCATGGGGAGCATGCCAGAGGACAAGCTCACAGAAGAAGAGCTCGCAGGTCTTGGGGAGTATTCTGATATTGCGGTGTTTTTGCAGAAATCAATGGATGATCTTGACATCGTGCTGAGCATAGAAGACGACAAGGGCGTGGCAAGGGTTATGCCGCTGGGGGCAAACATGCAGCACACGACAAAGGGCGTGGGGTTGGAGTACTACAGAGACGGCGTGGTAGAGATAGAAGAGTACGAAGTGAAGAAAGTTGGCGAAACACCTGAGCACGCCAGCGAAGAAGATCGTGAAGTAGACATATGAAATATTTAATATGAGTAAAGTGTGCAATGTGCTTTGTGAATAAAAACTAATAAAATGTTTACATTCGCTGCTAAATAAAATATCGGTTAGACTTTTTGTTTATTTTCATTGCACAGGGAAAGTATTATCTAAGTAGACAGAGTCAGCTAAATGCATTAGCACTAGCAAAACTGTTTTATACGCTGTTGCTGCTGGGATTCTGTTTAAACTGCCAGCACAAAAATCCTGTAGTGAAGATGTTGAGCATTATGGATGCAATGGTTATCCATATAGTTCTACTCCTGGATTTTCTTGATTTGGATTGGGTAGGTTCAGGAATAAACAGATTATTACTCTTAGTTCAGCTGCTCTTTACAAATTTTCATTATAATCACGGTTGGTAGTAAGTTTGCTTACACACTGTCTAAGCATTCTATGATAGCTATTTTTATGTCTTAAGAGCTAAGAGCACCACAAAGAGCGCATTTACTCCATATATTTCTCTATTTTTAGCAGGCCAGGGTGCATACTGTTCATTTTACAGTGTGCATATTATTTTCTCTTTTCTGTTTTTACAAATGAAAATAACTGCACAGGACAGTAGCACACAGAAAATAGAAGAAGAGGGCGTGGTCATAGAAGGGAATGCCTTTTACAACCCCGCACAGAAGTTCAACCGGTCGCTGACCATAAAAATAATAAATCATTTCATGAAAGTGCGCTCAAAAGATGGAATCGTCTTGCTGGAGTGCATGTCTGCAACTGGTCTCCGAGGAATACGATACATACGAGAGCTAGCTGGGCATAACACAATAGTGATGAACGACATCTCAAAGGATGCATGCTCTGCGATTGTGAAGAATTGCAGTAAAAATGGAATATCTGCTGAGATAGATCGAATAACAGAAACAGAAAAAGTATCGGTGGAGGTGAAGAATGAAGACTGCAGGTCCCTGATGCTCAGTAGAAAGAAGGCCTTTGATGTGATAGACATAGATCCATTTGGAACGTGCGCACCTTTCATCGAAACAGCCATTGAAGGCCTGGCTGATAACGGCTTGCTGTGTGTTACTTCCACTGATACAAAAGTTCTGTGCGATAAGCCCCCCGAGGCTTGCTACAAATACTACGGCTCTGTTTCCATGAACAACTCGTATTCGCACGAGATAGCCATTCGAATTGTGCTTTCGTATATCTCCAGAATAGCTGCTAAATCAGGCAAGCGGATTAAGCCTCTTGTCAGTCTTTCAATGGACTTTTTTATCCGTGTATTTGTTCAGGTTATTCACGATAAACAGGAGTCTACCCCTTCTCTGCTCTGCAATAAACAGTATCTCCTGTGCAGCTGTTTGAACAGACAGGAGATCGCAGTTCTTCGCAAAGAAAACGGAAAAAACGTGTATCGGCACACAAAGATGCCTGACACAACAGAGTGCGCACTGTGCGGTAGGACGTATGGCCTGTATGGGCCGTTCTGGTCAGGCCCAATGCACTGTCCTGTGTTTCTAGAGGGCGTAATACAGGGAATAGACAAAGCGTACATTGAAAGCAAAACGGGAGGAGATAAGATGACAGCCCACACAACAGAACAGATAAACAGAAGAATCCACGGAATGCTAACAATGGCAAAAGAGGAGATGGACAGTGTTTTCTACTACTCAGTGCCGTATGTCTCTTCTGTGCTCTCTTTCCCTGTTCCTCCAATGCCCGCTCTTATTTCTTTTTTGGAGGGAAATGGAATAAAATCATCTCTTACACACTGCAAGCCAAACAGCATAAAAATGAAGGGAAGGGTGGAGTATATTTACATTGCAGTGATACTGTACTACAGAAATATAAAGCCAGAGATATACTCGATATACAACGAAAGGCTTATCGGAGCAAGAAAGGATGTAGACAAAAACACTCACAATCTAATGGTGTACTTAGACAGGTACATTGAAGAGAACACAATCGTAAGTGATTTCACAGTCACAGCAGCAGCAGCTGAAATGACAGCAAGAAAGCATCTAAAGTTTCAAGACAAAAGCGGCTTAGGATGGGGCCCTATGAAGAGATAGCCATCAAGTGCCAAAACATAGATAAGACAATAGAATAAAATACCGGTAAAGACAAAAATTAAACAGATTTACAATCTATTCTATCATTCTTCCTTGTTCATTGATTGGTAGGTGATTGCGCATGATTTGGAGTGACCTCAGATCAATTTTCAGCTCTGAAACTTTCTTTTTAATTTTTTAGCTATTGAGCATCTCTTGGAAGCTAACTGTACACTTTTCTGTGGACTATGAAAATATTTGGCAGTCTTTTTATTACTTTTTTTTGAACAATTCTTATATGCAGAAAAGAAGATACAATGAAGAAGAAGGAACGGGTGAGACCGCGTCAAAAATATCAAATAACCCAGAACAGGCATACGAACTGGCCATAAGGAAGTCAAGGCTGCTGAAAAAAGAAGAGCTTGAGCTAATTACAGACAAAGTATCGTATGGCGAATACTTCAGCAGATACTACGAGGTGTGGATTAAGGAAATGGTGCTGGATGGCTTGCTCGATAAAATGTGGTACGCAGAGAGAGACCTTTGGGTGCTCCAGGGTTATCCTGACTCTTTCATGGAGTTTAGAGACTTTATAGCCAACAAACAGGGCAGCATCAGGCAAGAGTCAAAGAACGCACAAGCTCTTCTGCAGACAGAGCTGTTCGATAGGCTAAAATCAGATGCAACAGATGCAACTCCCATTGTTATCATTAAAAACATAAAAGAAACCGTTTCTATTAGGGAGATACTCTCTGAGCTGTCTGCAAAACTAGAAATAGCAGAACATGCAGTCTCTCAATCGGGAATAGCGGATGGCTACAAAAGAACTCTTTTCATCAGAACAGATATGGATGTGTCAAATTGCAAAAATATCGTATCAGAAGTGCCTTTGTTGACAGAGTCGATAGTGTCTGTGCAGTACCTCCCCACAGCCAGCAGCAGCAGATCCACTGCCCAAATAGGAAAACAGTTCTCGGACAAATACTCGATGCAGCACACAGAGACACAGTGCAAAAACATTCTCCAAAAAATGTCAGAGCTGCTGGGCGTGCCAGAGGTCTACAAAACGGTCTCATCGCTAGAAATGCGCATTCCCAAAGAGGAAACAGCTGATCTCTACATGCTGGCTCTTCGAAAAATCTTTTCGTTTTGCTACTACTGCGGAGTTAAGTACGACAATGCATACGAAATGGCGTTCAAGTGCGGCCTGTACCACCTACGAAGCGAGACAGTCCTGGACGACTCAAATCCAGAAACGCACAGAAAAAAGATGGAGGAGTGCTTTGAAACAGACAGAGTTTCCTTCCTGCAGGCGATACCCAAGGAGATTGACATTCGCACATTCTGCACAGAGGTCAGCGACAAAAAAGAAATAGAGTGCAAATACTGCAACAAAAAGTTTGAAAGCGTAGAGTTTTTCCAGAAGCATCTCGAACGAAAGAAGCACAGATCGTACGAAACAAGCATAAAACTGCACAGTGACTGTCTGCAGTGCATCAACTCTCTCAACTACCAGCTGGTCAATGCAGTGGAGAAAAGGGCTCAGAAGATTCCCCTTGTTATATACGACTATATGTCAAACAATTCGCAGATTATAGAGAATGAAGTGCAGTACGGCGACTTAGATAAGAAGTATACGATACTCCAGGAAGGCATGCCCATAGCCCTGGCAGAGTTCGGACAAGACGAACTGTAAATACAATCTGATATTCATTTCTTTTTATTTTTATCCAGCATTTGATTATTTTCAGTTTATCCATCACTCAGTCAATGAGCTTAATAACAGCTAGAAACACTACCTACACTGCCTACACTACCGCTAAACAAGAATAAAGCAATTGGCTATCTGCCTATTTTTACAGATCATTTATTTATTTATTTTACATTGTGGTTAATAGATCGTATGCACAATACAACAATGGTGTTTCCAATCTTATTTTCATTAGTAGATTTGCTCTTTTTTGGCAGTAATTTGTGTCTTTAGTCTGCTGGCTTTTTAGAGAATGTGATAGTGTTCTTCAGATAATTTTGTTTGTTCTCTCTCATTTTGTTCAGGGTTTTTTGCCTTCTTTCTCCTCCCATCTTTATATTCCTTGAAAGATTTATCATATCTGTCAGGTCTTTTATTGTTTTTATCGCCATCGCCGAATAATTGGAAGCAAGCGCGCTTAGAACTATCTTACTACCGATCATACTATAAAACTGTGCCCCAAACTCGTGCATGTTTATCTCAAACAGCTCCACATATTCAGTGTAATTATCGCGGGGATTTAAGAATGTGCTTATATGCGGGGTGCCCATCCACTCCAGGCCAAGACTTCTTTTCTTTGTGATGAGATCTTTTCTCAGATTTATAGAGGCCGCAGCCATCGACATAAAGTGTCTGTTTACAGCTACGCCATGATACCTATCCATATAGCTGAATAGTTTTTCGACCATTCCGGTGTCTATAATATCCTGCAGGCTTTTTGTATCCCTAACCATCTCCATTGGCATAATAAAAGCTTCGTGTACTTTCTCAGCCGATTTATACGAGAACTTCTTCTTAACTAGATACAATATGTGCTGTGCAGATTTTCTTACATTCTCTACTTTTAGTATATTACTATTGTTGGGAGTATTTTTCATAATTTTTTCATACTCTTGCAGACTAAAATTCGATATGATCTCTTCTGGAATGGTGAGGTACTCTACGGCTGCCATTGTCTCCACTATCATTGCCATCTCTGCAGGGCTCACATCATTGCAGGAGTTGTAGCTGTTTATTATCTCTTTCTTTTTCAGGATCAAATCGGCAAGGTTTTCCATCTTCATTCCCATTCTTTCTTTGTATATTTCCTCCTCCTCTTTTGCATTTGCAGGCGCGTAGTATTTTTTGTAGTTTAATCCGTTATTGTAGCTCGGATATCCACCTGCCGCATATTTGCACTCATCGGTAGCTACTATACCCTCTTCAACGGCTTCTGCTGCGCTGTTGTAGCACGTGATGTACATCTGCGGATTTTCTTCCACATACCTGTTCATGTACAGCACATTCAAGTTCTTCTTTTGCGGCCCAATTGCCTCTATGTCTTTGCTCAGGATCCTCCTGTTCAGGGTGGAGATGGGCACTTCCATCTCGACGGGCGTTAAAAGCTTTTCTTCTATTTTCTCAATGCATGTGTCTATTTTTTCATTTTGTTTTTTTATTATTTTCACATTTTCAGAAAATACAGTTTCTGTCTTGTTTCGACTTGCATTTCTATTAAGATGGAATTTTTTTATTGCACTTTCCTCTCTCTTCTGCCTCTGCTCAATTATATCAGCATCTGTGGCAGTTTCGTTGCTGAACATACGGTTTATTCTGATGGCGCTGGATAGCTTCGCCTGAAAGTTATTTGCATTGAGAACCACTGCATCAACAACACCTTTTATCTTTTCTGTTAACTTTGTGTACGGCTCTGCATCATACATCCCTATCTCGTAGATATTTGTGAAAACATCTTCCATCCGCTCATGTGTCGCAGTGATAATCTTGAGAGTGTTATTGCAGATTGATTTTATGTTTTTAATGAAAGATTTGATGCTAGGAACAGAAACAGCAGTCTTGTGGTACTCGTGGTCTGCACTTTCATAGACATTTATCACTAGTTTTATCGAATATAGATGCGCTTTCACTAGATCATTCAAACTCTCCGAATTCTTCAGGCACGAATAGACTGCAGATCCCTCCAGAAAGTCTTTTATTTCTGCTGCCACAATGTAGATGCTGTTCAGAAGATACTCCAAGCGCAGATCACTCGTATTGACACAGCTAGCTGCTGTGGTAGTGCAATTTATAGGGCTATTGCTACTCTCTGCTATCTTGCCAATTAATGGATTAGCTTCTGCTGTTCTATTCTCATTTTCAACTCTAGCTAGACTTATGTCTCCACAGCATCTGGATAGTACTGTGTTTTTATTTTTGGCAATTTGGCTATTATTAGCTACTGTCTCCGGTACTGCAGAATATTTGTACAGTTCGTGAATGAGAGAGTGTGCTTCTTCTATTTCTTCTCTGTATGTTTTTATGTATTTGCCAATGATGTATATCTTTTGATTGATGCTGTTGTACTGATTCAGAAGCGCTCCTTTGAACATTGTGTTGGATGACACGATTATGTTGCGAAGAGTGTGCAGCTTCAAGCCGCTGAGGTAGTCTATGTTCTGGATTCCGTTGCTGAGCGAGATGGCAGAGTGCGCATATATTCCTGTCTTTAGCTCGTATTTTGAAAACGTTTTTTCTTTGCTTCTGGCTGCATCTCGGCTTCTTTCTGGGCTGCTATGCGCTAGCAACTGCCATATTTCTTTTTGTTTTTTCATGTACTCATTGGCTGTTTCGTCTGTTTTTATAAACTCGCCGTATGCCAAGAGGAGCGGCTTATTTAAACACACGTATCTGTTGTCCTTTGATATCTGCAGGAGATTGAAATCCATGATGTAGTCCACTTGTGCATCCTTAAGAATTTCACTAATTCCGCGCTCATAGCATTCTATGGCTCTATTCTTAGGATGGCTGCGGAAATAATCTGAGTTTACTATAAATCTGTTGGTGTTTTCGCTGAACACTTGGCTGATGGCGCAGATAATCAGGAAAGCAAAGAGCACAGCAGCACAGACTATCTTGAGAAAGTTCATTGTAATTTTGCAGCATGGATAGTTTTATATTTTGAAAGTGATAAGGATCAAGATAGACAAACCCTGTGACGCATTTTATTTTCTGATGCACTTCTGCTCTGATCATTGGATATTTAATTTTAACGAGAACATTGCTTTTCTAATTTTCTGAATTTGGGTGATTTATTTTTTGTGCTTTATAAACAGGAAATAGGAAAACATCCATGTACCTTGGAGAGTATGCAATGAAGAGCCTGGACAAAAGGTTTAGATACACAAATAGCTACATACGCGACATACTGGTCTACAGATTTCAGAGAAGGCCCATTTTAAAATCGCTCATGGAGGTTGTTTTTAATGGCATCTTAAGCATTTTTCTGCTGGCTATGGTTGAGTCGTTTATTTATTTCTTTTTCGGATCTCTGCCCATCTATGCCTTTTCTTCTGTGTATTCCATAATGCGGCCGTCTTATATGAAGCCATACGACAGAGAGATAAAGAAACACCTGTATCTCCTTACTACCTTATTCTGCATAACATCAGAGCTCTTTGTGCAGTGCTGCGTGTTCTATGCTCTAACAATGAGCTACTACAAGACGGTGAAAGGAACAACATTTTTAAACTATTTTGGCTCATTCTGTTTCTATGGCGCGTGCATAGCCTGTGGCATAGCTCTGAACTGGCTCTTTATCGACACGCTCGGAGACCTACTGAGTCTGATAAATATAAAAACACTTGCAGGAAAAATAGTCCTGAGCTTCATCATTGCCTCGATTGTTTCTGTGCTGGTGGTAGAGTTTAAAGGAGTCTGCAGAAAGATGAAAGAAAAAGGAAAGTCGTTTTCACTGCTGCTGTACACCGGCCTGATTATCACAAGCATGTCTATGCTCTTGATTTGGTTTGGAATTGACTTTGCCGTTCCATTTCTCGAATATACCCATGGCTTGTGCAGAGGCGTGCTGAGAGAAGTGCTTAGTTAGAATAAAAGTATATATTTAGTTATCTGTTGCCTTTTCTTACGGCTATTACACGCCCATCTATTCTCTACAATACGATCTATCATTTTATAAGTGCTAAATCTCTTGATATTTGATGAAAATTTTAACAATAATTTTGATTTTAATATTTTATTGATACAGTCAGTGCGCAATCTATAGCAGCTCAGACAGCGCATTCACCACCTCCTCCGACGCATGGACTGATGCTTTTCTATCACTGAATGACTCAACAGACACAAATGTCTCCGATGTAAACAGAACCATGTTATTCTGTGCTATATTCAGTGAAAGTGCGCTGATCACTTCATCAGTGACTATTGCTGCCCTGTATATATCCCCAGTCTCTGTAAGGATGAATAGCGTATCTGATCTTTCTATCAAAGATAGCGATACTCTTTCTATTTTCACCACTCCCGACGGCAGCGATACAGATAGAAGTTTTCTGCAGTGGTTGTCAGATGTGTGCAGCACAGAAACAGAGCCGCCTTCTTCGTGCGTGTATCCCAATAGAGAATATTCGCTATTAAACAGGCCCAGCGACTTGTGATTGCTTTTCATTCTGTCGATGTATACGGATGCCATGTTGACTGGCAGTTTGCTTTCTGCATCCAACCCGTACATTTTTATCTGTGAAAGCACGCATTCTATCAGATGTCCTCTGCTTATCTGATACTTTGCATCTACTGGCTGTACAACACTCTGCGCTCTTTTTATCCTGGAGTTAGATACCGTGTATATCATTAGACCGTCTGTTGTTGTGCAGTATATCGCGCTCTTCTGTCTGCTTATTGATAAGATATTCACTGATTCTGTTGATATTCTCGATATTTCTGCTATTTTATCATTTTTTACTTCCAGCAAAACTAGGGCAAACCCACTCATTGTATTTACTCCCATGACTATTCGGCTTTGCATCCTCATTGCATGCACACCGTACACATTATCATACGATACTACATCCAGAAGGGCTGTACCGCAGTACAGTTTAACATAAATGCTCTGTTCAGTTTCCAGTGAGACATCCTCTGCTGTTCCAATTTTTCTATCTTTGCTTGAGAGAATAACCATACACCCGTCCAGAGGTACAAAGTCCAGGATGTCTTCCTTGTACAGAGTGTCTGTGCTTACATACTCACTCTCTTTTGCGTGGCTGTTCTTGCTATCTGCTAATGCATAAAATACTAGATAGTGAGTATTTTTATCGGGAGAATATACAATTAAGCGGTTCTCCATGGAAAAACAGGCTACTCCATGCGATCCAATGTTCTCTATGTATTCAGCCTGCACTACTCCCATTCTATTCGTGTGCACCACTATTGTGCTGTTGGTTGTATTGATCAGCACCGAGTTGTTCTCGTATAAAATATTTTTTATGATAACAGATCCTGTGTGCACATTGTACTTATTGGCACCGGAGACACACCAAAGGCTGCCGTCGTACTTGTGCAATAGATACTCCGTCTCATTGATGGGAAGGACTCTTCTTCCTGCAATTGATAGAGTGTGGGATGCATTTGACTTAGTGAACAAAACCGTTGTGCTAGACTCTTCTCCTATTATAATCCTGTGTTTGTAAATGCACAGTGAAATAGCCATGTACTTTCCCAAATACTTAACTTTGCTCTCCAGATAGTCCCAAGTGTACACGCCATCCACCGTACAGAACACTAACTCGCTCTCGTACATGTCAGCACATACTACTATGTTGTTGCTGTTATTATTTCCATTACTGGCAATATTATCATGATTACTGTGAGAATGTGTGATAAATACTTCATTTTCATTATCTGTCTTCTTATGGTAGCTGCAGCTCATGCAGTGCTCATACGTACTGCCTCCTTCGTGTCTTCCTATTACTCCTGTTCTGCTCATGAAGTATACGCCTTTGTCATAGACAGCACAGACTGCCATGTCTCCCCATACTTTCACGCTTTCTTTATACTTTACATCTTCTTTGTAGAACAGTATTTCCATTCTGTCTTTGTACTCCACAAGAATGGTTGATCCGCTGCTCTTTATCTGTCTTGGAGCACCTTCTATCTCCACTCTTCCGCACTCTGTCTTTTTCCTTCTTCTTTCGATCTTTGCGATGGCATTTCCGTTTCCTTCTTCTTTTAGGGCATATACAGGCGTAGTGCCGTACTCTTCAAATACCTTTATATTTTTTATTTTACTTCCTTTTCGGATTCTTCGGATTTTTCCGTCTTCTAGCACCCCCATCTCTCCTCTTCTGTTGTATACATACGCACACTCGCCATTTCTTACGATGTACTCGCTGATTATTCCATTGGCATTGATGTATCCCGTTACAACAAAATCGCTCAAACTGAGCATACATATTTCATCCGTTAGCATACTCAGAGCACACTTGTCTTCAGACAGTATGGAGATCGCTCTGACCAAGGGCCCGCCAAAACACATGCTCTTTACGTTGCTGATCATTGAGCTGTTTGCGCCTGTTGGCTGCGCTGTGTCTGAGTACAAAAGCAGTCTCTCTTTTTCCACTGCTAGAAACCCCTTATTCGGTGTGCTGCATATTCTGTACACTTTCTTAGACACAGACACTTGGCCTATTTCTTCAAGTGTGCTGTTTATTCCGATGGTGCGCACTACTCTTCCGTCATGCGACGACAAAAGAAGAATAAACTCTGTGTCCTTTGAATAGTCCACGGACATATCCACTATCTGGTGCCCATACGGATTGTATCTGTGCATTTTCTGTGTTTTTATGTTGTAGATCAACACTTCGTTATCTACAAGAATAAATATTTTTGAGTTTTTAAGCCACGCCTCTTTTACTGCAACATTCTCCAGGTCCATTTGCACTATATTCGATACTTTCATGTTTTTTATTGTGCATATGCCTGTGCTCAGTATCACAAATACCTCTTCGCTATTTGACACAGCCCATTCGATTTGGCTGTTTAATTTGAGGACATTCTCTGTTCCCAGAAATTCAACAGTGTCATCGTACACTACATACGCGCCTTCTTTAACGCATCCTGCGCACTTGATGGCAGGCGACTGGCTTATTCTCTCTAGAAAGAAGCCCTTCATGATGTCTCAAAAAAAAACTTACTTTTTATTATTATGAGAGTAGACATACTTGGAGAAAGAGACAAGTCCGAGGACTCTCTTCTGTCGATAGTCTACACAGGAAGCACAAAGGGCATATACTCGCTCAGCATAAACAGCAATCCATTGCCAAAAGTAGAAGTAGAGCCAGCAGAAGACCTATCTGCCCTCCAAAGTGATCTGGAGACAGTTTTAACGGAAATAATAAAACCGCACGACAGATTCTCGTACAAACTCCAAATAAACCTGCTCCAAAAAGAAGCCAGCACAATCGAGCTATTCACAGATGCCATCACAGCCATATCCATTTTAATTAGCAAGCTACAAATAGAAGCAAAAGACACACCTGTTGCGTACACAAAAGAGTACCCGAATGGGACAATGTGTATTTGCAAAGGATACTTCCGAAATACCGTTATTTTTGCAAAAATAAATGGAGCACTCTCAGAAACAGATGTAGCACATGCTATGGAGCATATTCCCAGCACTAGGATAGAAGAACTAGTATCATTACTAAGCAAATAGCGATACCATTACATTGCCCTGTAGTATTTACTAAATAAACCACCAAATTATCTTCAGACCAATTCTCTTATTGACTTTTATTACATCAGACATGATGTTGTAGCTCCTTCATGAAATTACCATACTTATACCATTTTACTAAGTCTCCAATATCTTACCATCTGAAATAGTTTGCTGGTGCCTCCTACAGTGCCAATAAATTATTTTCTGGATAAAAATAAACATTAGCTGGCTTTGTTTGAATTACTTTTTAATAATGGTTCAGGAGAAGCAGAGCTGGCTTAAGAACGTGTTTGACTCTGAATACTTTGCGTTTTGGATGGCACTCACGTGCTTGGCAAGATACAAGGAGAGATCAATACACCAATACATGTGCTACAACATTCTCAAAACAAGAAAGAAAGAAGCCATTACTTACTATCCCCAGCTTTTCCATCTTATGCTCGTAGAGGATGGAAGTCTGTGGAACAGGCCTATCTTCAGAATGCTTCACAAGATATCCAAGACAGACAGACACTTTGCCACCATTCTGTCGATGTACTCTGTCTCTGTGGCTGATTCTTTTCCTTCTTCCCACGAGAGATACAGAATATGCATGGATTTTTCAGAGTCAATAATCATCCACGGAGCACTCCCTGGAAAAAAGATAAAAGAGTACAAGATAAAGAGCACTTTGTACACGCAGTATCTCCGAATGACGTACGGATCCAAAGTAGGGCTGTCTCCCAGCACCGAGCACATGCTGCACCAGCAAAAACAGTTCTACTCTTTGCCCGTTAAAAAAGAGAAAAAAAAGAAAGAAACAAGAAAAGTATCGATAAAGGCAGCGATTGCTGCTCTGCTTTCAGGGCTGGCAGCAGTTACAGATGCAGTGCAGCACGAGTTTCTTTTGGACACAGCCGAGACGAACATGGCATACGGTAAGAGACGCGTCCAGTACAAGAACGAAGCAGAAAGATCACTAGCTAGGTTATCTAGAGAGTCAAAAGAGGCAAATTTCATCAGCAAATTAAACACCATTTCCAACTCGCTGATACCGATAGCCAAGGGAATGAGGGAGCAGGCCCTGATTACAGAGCTGAACCTGATGAATTTGTATCTGCCCGAGCCAATATGCATGGCGATTCTGTGCGATGGAGTTTCTCACAGGAGCATTCTTACGCTTTCGGTAGAGCTATCAAAGACTCTCGACTCTGCCACACGCGCGCCTTTTATGCTGGTCTATGAGTCTGCGCAGGAAGAGGGAAACAAAATTGTCCGATCAATTGAGCAAAATAAATCGCCGATGCTTTTCAAAGAGGTGGAAAACGAAAGCACAGACGGAAAACAGGAAACAAAAGAAAGGATCTTCAAAACAGCCATTCGAATACTCAGCGGGCTGAAGGAGCTGGACAACAGTGCGCACGTGGATCTGGACATTCTTGCAATAAAAACAAGAGTGATCCGAAAAATATACAACATGCACACTCCGCAGTACATTACCACAAAAGGAAATAAAATAGAAGAGTGGGAAGATGCAGAAAAAGAAGCTCGAAGGAAGTCGCCGTACAAAGAGATGGATGGATGGGCGCTAAATTCAATAATAGTCAAAACAGGGTCAGATATGAAACAGGAGCAGCTTACTTCGCAGATACTTCGGATAATAGAGAGCATATGGAAGAACGATGGAATAGATTTATTATTAAACCCGTACAAAACACTCGTCACGGGAAGAGACTCGGGAATAATAGAAACAATTCTCGGAGCAAAGTCCATCCACCAAATAAAAAAACAGATAAAGGAAAAAGGCCCGGGGTACAGCCAGAGCATCATGGAGTACTACAAAGACACATGGGGGAGTGACTTAGAGAGTGCTCGAGAGCTGTTTTTTAGAAGCCTTGTTGGGTATTCTCTTGTTTCGTATATCCTGCAGATAAAAGACAGACACAATGGAAACATTTTGATAGGCAGCAAAGGAGAGCTGTTTCACATAGACTTTGGCTTTGTTCTGGGCACGCATCCAGGGTTTTACTCTGTCGAGTCGGCTCCGTTCAAGTTCTCTGTGGAGTATGCAGAGATAGCAGGAAAAGAGAGGATGAGCCGATTTAAAGAAGAGTTTTTAAAGGGGTTTCTGTCTCTTCGCAAGAACATGGACCACATCATAATTCTGGTAGAAAGCGTATCGAAGTCGGGAGGAATATTAACGATAAGCCAAGCATCTGTGCACTCTCTCAGGGAAAGGTTCGAGCCTGGGCTGACTGTGGAAGAGTTCTCCGAGCACGTATCAGAAATAGTTGACAGAGGCATGAAGAATGTGTTTACAGACATATACGACTCGCTGCAGTACTATACGCAGGGATACTGCAAATAGAATCTGAGAATAAGAAATATAAATAAATTATTATACAGAACATTCAGAAGTTTAGTGAATATGAGTAAGCGGTTATAGATTGATAGTGATAGATAGATAGATTAATTGATTATTGATTGGTGAATGCAGCTTGATAAGACAGTTAGTGATAGAAATACAAATATTTTATTGAAGAACTGGAGGTTGGTACTCTGAAAGGAATAATCTACTGATTTAGTGGCTCATTTATCTGCTAAGGTAATTCAGAAAGAAAGTGTATACTTGCTGAGACTGTAGAGTATTGTTTTCAACTGTGTTAAATATTGTTAGTTTATGTTTATTGTTTATTTGTGATAAATCACACTACTTTTTCATGCTGATTTCTCTTTATTGTTTCTGCCGTATTATTTTTATAATATTCTGTTTGTCTTCTTCTGGGAGAGCGCTCCACGCTCCTGCCACGATGGTCCCTGGCCCCAGACTGCATATATTTCTAGCATAGTCGTATGGGTCAATCGCATCCAGCGGTGTTTCAAATGACGGGTCTTCATCGAAGCACTCTGTTTCTCCATAGCTCTCTTCGTCCTCGTAATCGAGCTCATTCTCGTTTTTCAGCGCTTCTCTTCTGGCAAGGGCCTCTGGGAACGACTCAATTGCGAATATAAAAACTTTCATAAGAGTTTCCACGGATATTTCCGAGGGCAGGCTCTTCTCCTGCTGGGAGATGAGTATCCCGCTGGAGAGAAGAAGAAGCTTCAGGTCGTGCACTCTTTCGAACTTTTTGTACGAGCTGTCCAGGCTTCCAAAGACAAAAGACGTTACTTTCAGCTCGTGGAGGGCCGAGATAGTGTGCCCGGGCATGAGAATGATAGAGCACAGCACTATCTCTATGGCAGAAATAAGCGCAGCAGATGATTCAAGCATTTCCCTGTCTGAGAGAACAAGAGTAACAGCTGCCTTAATGAACTCTCCCAGCTTATCTCCCAGCAATCTTGACGCGTTGAGGAGAATGCTCTCAATTATTCTGCAGAGGTACGGGAAGTCGTAGTCCGTGATAATTCCCTGCATCATTTCCGAGAGAATCGAGAAAATAACGTGCAAGTACTTCAGCATTCCCTCTTTTCCGTACGTTATAAAGTTGTCAAAAACACTCGACAGCTCGTTGATGTATATGGCCATGTCGTCTATGGGCATCTTCAGGATGATCTCAAGTATTTCGTAGAGGCCATCAACGCTCTTCAGGTTGTACGAGGCCACCACGAGGAGAGGGAAGAGATCTGGGAAGAAGTCTGGGTACTCTGTGCCCACAGTGATGATCATTTTGCGCACAGGCTGCATGATGGCTAGAACACTCTCTGGGGACTTTCCAACTGAGTCAATGAGAGTTGTGATGGTTCTGATGTATCCATCGATCACTTCGTATCTTTCCTCTGGCTCTTCTTCTCCATTCTCTCCCTCCTGTGCTGATTCTTTGAGCAGAGACACTATCGAACCTGAAATTGCTTCAGCAATTCCCGGGGCAATGGTGGATGACTCTTCAGCGCACATCATGATGACGTCTTCCAGTGTTGTAGCCAGTGCTTCTATTTGTATTCTGTTCGAGAGGTCTAGAAGAAGCCTGATGAACTCTGGAATGTACTGCTTCAGTTTGGCCTGCATTGAGTCAACGGCCAGGATATTCGGGAGACACAGCGCGCTTTCCACGACCACTCCAAGATCCTTTGACTTAACTGCATCCATAAATGGATCAAGGACCTCTTTTGGCATGCCCCCATAGTAGCTCAGATGGTGCAGCGTGGAGAATGCTATGTACTTGATGATCGCGTGCGGTGCGGATATGTCGTTAATGATGATGCTAAAAACGGTTTCATTGTTTCGGATGTACTTTCCTGCTATTTTGAACAAGCACAGGCCCCCGTATCTCATTCTCACTGCCTCAACGGGTGGTGACTGTGTCGCTGTGTATGCTGATATTTCGTTAATGATCACGTTGAAAAGGTACTCAAATAGCTGCTTATCAGGAGAGTTGTTTGCTTTCTTGGCAATGTCCAGGAAGAGCTCTGATGCAAGGGTGGCTGCATTCTTTATGTATCTTGCCTCGTTTTCTCGCATAAAGTCAATCTGACACGCGTCCCACGAGTCTTCCATCTCTTCGGTGAACGACACTGCAGGGAGAATGAACTGTGTGGTGATCATCGGTGTGTCATTTTTAACTATCTCCCATCCTGCGCTCTTGCTAATGATGTTGCGGACCATCTCAAACGCCTGTGCTTCTACTTTTGGAGAGTTTCCTGCTTTTCCGTATGCTGTGAGTATCTCAACCGATTTCTTGTACAGCAGAGAGAGGACATCGGATCTTTCAAAAAGGGCAAACGATGGGAGGTCTTTCTTCTTTTTCGTTTTTTTGATGAGCCCGTTAATGACCATGCAGGACCACTTTACCGCTGACGCAGATGCAAATAGAGAGGTAATGGTGAGATCTACCACAGAGATGAGGTTCTGCACGAACACGGGCTGTTTGAAGACATTGGGGAGCATGTAGCTCTCGCAGGAGTGCCCAAGCACCTTCATTGCAAACGCTGCCATCTCTGCGTTTGCTGTTTTCACCGACGTTACGATGATGTTCAGCAGAGTGTCTCCCACGGGATCAAAGAGCATTTCAAACTCTTTTTCTGCTTTGTACTCCTCTATGAAGCCCAGGACGATTTTGTTCAGTATTTTTAGCCCTATCATCACAGCAGAGGGATCGGCGCTTTTAACGAGCTCTTCTGTTTTTTTTATGATGGGCGCCCACTGCTCTACCTCTTCGCTTTTCAGAATAAACTGCAGAGAAACCAGGAGCTGTTTTTCCCCTTCTTTTGAGGCTGTGTGCAGGATGTACGGGAACTCTTTGATGATCGATGCCTTGTCAAAGCCGTCGACACTCCAGAACTTTTCCAGATATCTTCTGAAGTAGAGGGCTGTGAACATTCTAACGGAGGCATCTGCGTCGCTGGCAGACAGCTCGAGGAGGGTGGTGAGGAACCCTGGCCTTCTGCTGATTTCCTCGAGCTCTTTTTCTGCTCTTTTTTTTATGTTTATGTCTGGCTGCATTGTCATTCTAACGCACTCTCTTAGTAAATTTACTTCGGGCTTTAGTGTCATTAATAGTAGGGGGTAAATTTTTTCATATTTACGAATGAATTGCTTTAGCGTGGAGAGATTCAAAGAGGAAGGGTTCGAAATAAAAGAGTTTCTCGAGGAGCTGTACGAAGAGTGCAGGAGGAAAGAGGGGAGCACGTGCGACAAGATAAAAAAAGAGCTCGAGACAATAAAGGACGCCTTGGCATACAAGGAAACAGAGCTGAAAGAGAAGAAGGTGTATTACTCTGACAGGAGCAAAATAGAGGAGATCAGCAACTCTCTATCGTCGATTGAATTGTCGAAGTACAGCAATGAATTCATAAGAGTGTGCAAAGAGAGGGATGCCTTCCTTAAAAGGAATAGGTTTATCTCGTACTTTACAGCAGTGGAGAAGAATACGCTGATGGAGATAGCAGAAACAGAGAAAGAAACGAGACTTCAGGAAATAGCCGAGTTTGTAGATCTGCTGACAGGAAGCAATAAGTATGCGAACCACAAGAGAAAAAGCACGGATGGCTCGATAGGGTCATCCATTACACATGCCATAAAAAGTCTTAATCCATTCAGTCATAGCAATGGCAATAGTAACGGCGGAAATAGCAAAAATGACAGTAATAATGGAAATAGTGTAAAGAGTGAAAGCAGCAAAAATGACGATAAAAATAGCTTATACAACGGAAATAATAACGGAAACACTAGTGCAAACAGTGCTAATGTTTTACATGATGGCGTAGAGGGCGGTGAGAGTGCCGCTGTCTCTGATAGTATGCAAGAAAGGCTTGATGGGTACAAAAAAGACCTGCTTTCTCTTGCGATGTCCAGCTACAACAGCTGCATTTCGAGCGGGAACCACGAACTGGCTAAAAAATATGCTAGTGTGTGCTGTGTGCTTGGAAACACCTCGTATCCGATCGACTATCTGGTAAATAACGACAAAGCCATGCCTGAGTTTCCCTCTATGATCGTTACAGAGATTGACCTGCTTAAAGAGAACGCTCTGCACGATCTAGCAAAATATTTAGACACTTTGCAAGAGCACATAGAAGAAAAAGTGGAAATGATCAAAGACATATTCATAAACAACCAGTACATTGCACCAGGACAGCCGAGTAGCAGCAACATTATTGCAGAGATATACGAAGTAGTGCGGCATCTTTTTAAAAGACTCTTTTCTCCCGTGGGAAGTAGCATTGCTTCGATAAGCGATCCTGTGGAATATCTCATAACGGTAGAAACCGTTCTATCGCACGGAGCAATAATTAAAGAGAGAGTGTCGTATATCCTGCCTGATGTGCGCGATAAAATATGCAAATATTCTGTGCTCTCTCTGTCCGAAGACGAGCTCCTTGGAAGAGAGATGGAAAGCATGAACTTAATAGTGAACGGGCTGATTAAGGCAGTTAGCTCGGGAAAAAGCTCGCTAAAGTACAAGATAAATGGAGAAGTGCTCACACAGCTTAGATCACCGTTAGAAAGCGTTTTCAAGTACATGGCCGTGTGTAGTAGAATATCCATGCGGTGTAATAAGCTGTCTTACAGCAGCAAAGTGGCTGATCAGATATACCAGACACAAATCCATGGGTTTACTCTTCTGATGAACTCGATATTCAGCACAAAGTATGCTCCTTATTTGGGAACCAGCTTGCATCTCAATTTGTACCTCTGCATAAAAACATTCTACAAGAAATTAACTAGCAAGTGTGGAAATGAGAAGAGTATTAGCAAAATAATCAGCCAGCTGAACAAGGAAGAAGGCGCGAGGAATAGAAGCATACTCAACAATGAGATGGCACACCTAGTTAAGAAATTGGATAAGTACCTGGATGAGTACAAATCAGAAGAGACAGTTGAGCTAATGAACAAGTCGTTTGCGCACCTAGTAGACACGCCCATTCTCAGCACTGTTGTAAATGAAACACTGGAAATATTCTCTTCGAAAATAAAAGAAAAAGCATTTACAAGGTCGTCCATCAAGGAGGTAAAAAGCATGCTGGAGTATATAACTGTGTTTTACAAAAGCATAAAAGTTCTCAAGACAACGGAAGTAGAAAAGAAAGTGCGGAAGATAAAAATGCTAGTCGAAGGAGTGCTGGTAGACAGCGAAGATGTAGATAGGATACTAGACGTGTCCAGAGCCACAAGAGAAGAAGAGCAGATGCTCAGGAGGCTGCGGGAGAGAGTGAAAAATAAATGAGCAAAATTAACAAAAATATTTATGCCAGAAGATGAAAGAAGAAAAAGAGCAGACGATTTGAGCAATTCCATAATTCAGCTGATAAACCAGATGAGAGACGTCGCAGATGGTCTCTACAGGCACAGCTACGACATAGAAACAGAAATACCGCAGATCAACAAGGCGGTCATAAGCAGCATAGAAAAAACTGTAAATACGATAAAGGGAGAGCTGCTGGTGTCAGACGAGCTTGTAAAATATACACAAAACAAAGATAGCGATGTGAATGTGCTTTTGGAGTACATAAAAGAGAAGGAAGAGGAAATGAGCGAGCTCACAAACAAGGCAAAAGGAAAGTCCAAGTACTTCAAAATGTTCTATAACGGGATAATAAAGAAGGAAGAATAAATGTTTCCGGTCTCCTGGTCATTTGGCTTGTTTATGTACGGTAATAAATTATTTTGTGTTTTATTTTTATTTCTTTCTCTGTTACTGTTCTACTGCTATTCCACTAGAAGAGCTATCCCATCTACTAAACACATGATTATTTCGTAACTATCTCTTATTTTACAGCTGTTCATTTATCTTTACCATCTACATCTGTTCTCTTTGTTTCTCTTGTGCAATCTTCTAGTTTGTGAAATATTCATTGCACTTTTTCATTTTTCTATCCTTGCTTATACTTGCCATCTTTTAATATTTTTTTATGGGAGCGTTGAAGAAGTATTTTCTGGAGTATCTGCCTGCGAAGTATTCCATTGCTGATATCCACGCCAGGAGTACAATGAAAATGCCTAAATATTCGCTAGGGATCGGTGCACTATTGCTCTCTGGCCTATTTTTCAGAAGCAAAACAGGAGGAAGAGTGCTGAGCGAAATGTACAAAATTGGGTTTGCTGATAAACTGCGCGGCGAAGAACTTCCTGAACAGGGCGAAAACAAGCTGCCCACTGTTCTTATAGACATTGAAGACATTTTGCTGAGCAAAACATGGTCATTCGCAATCCTCGGGTACGAGTACAAGATAAGGCCAAACGCAGAAGCCTTTCTTTTCCAGCTCTCAAACGAGTACGAAATTGTAGGAATATCATCACTTCCGAACGAAATGACGAACGAGATCCTGCTGAAACTAGATCCATACGGGTGCATAAAGTACAGAATGCACGTACCCAACAGAGACAAGCTGAATTTGAAAGCTTTGAACAGAAACCTGAACAGCTTAATAAGAGTGCGAAGTAAATCAGAGAGCGAAAACGATCTGTCAGTTGATAAATGGGATGGATTCAATACGTCCAATGATCTGATGAGTCTACTAGACTTTCTACTAAACCTGAAGCAGATCAGTCCAGAGGACTTCACAGGCACAATACAGTCGTACAAAAACAAGCCATTCACAAAAAAGTACGAAGAAGACAGAAAAACACTCTATCCATTAAAAAGGCAGTACATTTTGTTTAAAAACCCAAACGCAGCTGAGGAATACGCAGAAAGAATAAACAGGAAGAGAATAGAAGAGTACGAAGTGGCAAAGGAGTATATAGAAAATCAGATGAGAATAGATAAGATAGGGAGTAAAAATAAATGATAGACAGTTAGACATCTAACAGCAGATTTATACAATAGATGGTATTTTATTTTGCTTTTTCTTTCGCTTTCATTCTTCGCTTGCTTGTGCTATATTTGTTTTACTTCTGTGTACTCTTTTTTTAGGGCTTCCAAGTCTTCTCTTTTGAACTTCTTTGGGAGCAGGAGGACTTGGCTGATTCTTTCGGGCTGTGTTTTTTCTTCATTTGTGAATTTGTTTTTTATTTGCTTTCTTGTTTTATCTGTAAACACTCTCTCCAGCAACGTAAAATCAGTACCGCACAAAGAGAGCGCCCTGTAGAAGAGAATTGTCTCTTCTTTTGTCCATCTACTTCTGGCACTGTGCTGTCTTCCGTATGAAAATGCGGTAATTCGGTCTTCTATGACCTCTGCTTTTGAGCCAGCATTTCCTTCGTTCATTACTACTTTGCCGTCTACAATAATCAAGCTGTCCTTTGGCTGTTCTTCTGCTGTGCTCTGTCTTTTCTTTTTCTGGCACTTTTTGCTCGCTGGGAAGTTCCTGTTTTCTAGAAAGTGTGCAAGTGGCTGTTTTGCCGTATTTTCCATTTTTAAAATTTTTCACTCTCGTCCGCTTAAACCATCCGATTACACCCCAAAAACACGCAGAAAATAAGCATCAACAGAGACTAAGAATAGCCAGACAGATGAGATAACTCGCTGCTGTAACTCCAGAACACTACATAAATGCGTTCTTATCGGTCTTAGATTGCTATTGTAGATAGTTTATCCCATCATCACCGAGCCATAATTGATGGCCTTCTACTCATAATCAGAGAATGCAAACTGTATCTGAAAATACTCTGTGTACGTATTTGTTCAATAAAACTGTATCTATTTATTAATTATATCTGTTTTGTCCAGTACTTCTTCACTCTCTCCAGCATAACTTTAAGATATACCTCGTCTCTTGACAGAATCTCTGCCTCTAGCTCCAGTCTATCGCTTGTAAAGTATCCTCTGGCTATCAGCCCCAGCGACATCAGATCGGTCAGTCTTCTGAACACCGTGTCCTTGGATATTTTTTTGAAATGCGGAACATTGTTTACTCTTCTTTCAAACTCCTCGTAGACGCTGCACAGAGTCACTCTCTTTATTGTCGCAGCCATGAGAATAATCAGGTGGATGGAGTTGAGGAGCTTATACGGATTGGGCTCTTTTACATCGTAGATGTACTTGAAAAAGCGGAGAGACATCCCCTCGTACGAATTATCCATGAGATACGAGAAGTGCACAAACTCCTCCAAGTTACTGTTTATCCTTGGAAAGTCGAAGGAAACAGACTTCTTCCCATACTCTTCCTCTTTCTCCTTTAGCACTTCTATCACTCTGCTGAAAATCTTGATGTACGCGTTCTCCTGCAGCTCTTTAACGTACGCTTTTATCCCGTCCATTCTGCTTACTATTCTTTTGTCTAGTTTCATCATATCTGCCACTCTCGGTATTTGGAAAATAAATTTGCTTTTTGCCATTCCCAGGGGATTTGTTTTCTCCAGGACTCTGTACAGGATGGACCGCGTTTTCTTCAGACTATTCGATGAAAGATCGAAGAGATGGATGTTTTCTATGTCGTACGATATCTTTTTAACGAGCGCATCCAGCGATCTGGCAGTTACGTTGGCAACTACCGCTGTGATGTGGTCTGTTATTTTCTTGGGCCCGTATATCCATATTTTCTCGCTTTCCTCTGAGTTCAGCCTGAGAATGATGGTCTCAATGACGGAGATGTATCTTGTCTCCACCTCCTGAGCGTATGCCATGTTTAAGATTTCCGGAATAGTGGACAGTCCGTGAAAAGGGTCTTCATTCACCGGCTGCTCATTTTCTTGCTCCACTTTAATCTTCTTAATCGGCCGAATGGTCATTACGAGAATAGAAGTACACTTTAAAAAATAAAATATAATGGAGAACGCAGAAAAAGTGAAATTGTACGCAAATAAAAATAAAATGAAATTGCAAAATACTTATGGCATGTAATTATAAATGAAAATGCGCACTAAAAAGAATGACAAACAATGTCTACGGTACACCAGCATATGCACCAAACGATATATCAGAATTAATAACTGACTGGTAGTTCAATCATCCAGATATAACCCGAGAATATGTTTCAGCGCTGTCTATGAATCCTCTAATCTGTTTCATACTACAACCGAAAATGAGAGAGCAATGAGCATTCTTGTCCAGCCTGTGCTCATTTAAAGACTTTCTATTGCACAAAGCCTTACCGTGCGAAGATATCATCCTATCTAGCACTCTGTCGATGCTTATTCCTCCTATGTTTCTTCCTTCTCCATCCCTTATCTCCTCTGCTAGTATTTCTATTTATTTTCCTCTCTGCTCGATTGTTTTTTATTTGCACGCCGTCTAACTGTAAGAAAATGAACTGTACTAAAGGGTTAAATTGATCGGTGTTTATTGAACGAGTTTGCTCTCTTTTTTGAGTTGTGCTGCTGTCTTTGCGTCTTCTGTCTCTCCGATGTACAGATCTCTGTCCTCTCTGACGGCTTCATCGTATCTTCTTCCAAGGTACAGGGTGGACATGCTCCACACGGTTGCCACAAGCACCACGGTTATCAGCAGAAGCAGTGACGCGGTTCTGATATCTGAGAGATTGAGGAGCCCAAGGATCACGATCTGCACGTTCGATGAAAGCGACTTTCCGAGCTTTCCACACACTCCGTCGTACACTCCCTTGAATCTGGCTTTGTACTGCTTGGGGATCTTCACTCCAATCGCCTCCTTTCCTATATCGAAGGCTGCGTACTTCAGAATCTTTATCGTGTTCACGGCTAAGAATCCAAAGTAGTACTCTGCATTTGTCATTGCAGTCCACCCGATGAGAGTGAAAAGCCTCTTTCCAAATCTGTTCAGCAAGTTCTCTGCGTCTTTTCCTGTAACGGTCACTGAGGCGTTGGCCCAGACAAACAGAAGGAAAGATGTGGCAGAGATAAGGGAAAGCACGGGAGTGAACATTCCGAGTGCGAGCCATCCTTTCTTCTGGATGAGCGACTTAACAGGCGAGAAGAGAATGGCGATGACCAGCAGACCAATGCACAGCTGCTGGAGCCCCTGCGTGAGGACAAAGTTTGTCATGACGTCTTCTCCCGACTTCTTTGAGGACTCTCTAACTGCAGATTTGAATGCAGCCTCTGTGAGGTTCGTGCACAGACCGTATCCGAGCACAGTGATGGACAAGTGCAGGACAATTGGCGTCTTGAACATGATCTTGAATCCGTCGATGATTCCGACTTTTTCCTTTGACTTTGTGCTTCTTCTGGCCTCTGACACGATGTAGATGGGGTATGGGATGATGTTTCTGACGAGGTGTCTGTATGTGAAGACATTAATCAGGCAGAGCCCGGAAACAGCCGTTACAAATGCGGAGATGATCTTGATCTTGTGCTGCGGGAATGTCTTGAGCAGGTAGTAGTTCGACACCATGAATCCTCCTGAGGTGATAAGCCCGAGGTTTGCTCCTATGATGAAAAGCGGGTAGAATCTCAGGGCCTGTTTCAGCGGGCATATTTCGTTGGCTACGGCGAAGAACATGACAGAGGTCATGACGTTACCCCACAGCTCTGCTGAGATGTACAGGAGAGTTCCTGTCCAGAAGTTGATTGTGAGGAAAAGCCCTTCGAGAGATGCCAGTCCGTTGATGAACATTTTTTTATCTGCGAAAATGTCGTGGATCCAGAACTTGTACGGCTCTATGTAGTCCACGCTTGGCAGAAGGATGAGCGCGTACACAAGGAAGAAGATTCCAAAGGACATGTTGAACACGAACATAAGCTTCTCCAGCGTTACTCCTCGCGAGAGAAGGAACTGGAAGAGAATGGCAAACGACATTGTGGCTGCGATGACAATGAAAGATTTGAGATACTGTATTGAGGCGGGCAACATTCTGTCCATGACGACAGCGTCTTTTGTGTCTCTTAGGATAGAGTATGCGAGAACAATGGAGTAGTAAAGGAACGCCATTGTGAAGAACTTGGGGTATTCTACTTTCAGCACCTTGAAGAATCTGCTGCACTGGTCAGCCTGTTCTTCGTGGGCTTCTTCTGTGGGTAGAGAGCGACTTCTGTAGTCGTTTGTAAGTCCTGCTGTTTGCATGGGTTTTCGTAAAAAATTTAAATAAATATTAGATGAATGAAAAATTTTAAAAATAAAAATAAAATTGAAAACTCAATGAAAAGTGGTGTGTGTATTTTCTGTGCAGGAATGCAGATGCGCAGGGCGGTGCATTGCGGTATACCGTGCTGCATAGTGTAGTGTGTGTTAATTAATATATGGAGTGGAATAGAAACACTCTGTTCTGTTGTATAGTAGGCTATGTGTAATAAATAGCAGCCCTGCTGTGGCGCACCGTATTATATTGTGGCATATCGGGATACATCGTGTGCTGTGTGCACTAAGTGCTGGCTGCTGATAGTATGGCATGCCAGTGTGGTATTATTTACCGTGCCAGGAGGAATAAATATTTACATGCCAATTTTAAAAATAAGCTGTATTATTATTTACACTTTTATTTGTTCTGCTGTGTTAGTAGCAGCTGCAGTCTCTATTTACTGCACAGTAGCCAGTATGTGCTAGAACATCGCCTATTTATTCTACATACTCCACAAGTAACAGCTCATCGCTTATTTATTGTCTGCTGTCTAGTGACAGTCTAGAGCTTACTTATTCGACACTTGGCGGCAAGTAGCAGCACAGTATCTACCTATTCTACTCCCAGCGGTAAGTAATGGTTTATTTTAAAATATTTTCATTCGCACTCTAACATGGATACACTGCGCATGCTCGACAGGCTGTCCTACCACCTAGCAGGCCCCCACAGAAGAGCCTTCTACAACACTCTTTGCAAGTGCATGGAAAAGGAGGAAATAAAACAGAACGGCGAACACCTGGCCAGAGTGCAGACTATGCAGATGTACTGTCTCGCTGTGGACGGGCTAATAGAGAAAGCATCGAGCATCTTTAACGACGATCTGAAAAACAGAACAGAGCTCTTGGAGCCGTACAACATAGAGCAGATTATGCTGAAGGAGGCCCTTCTCATGTGCAATCTTCTGGACAGGATAGACACAAGCAAGCTCTCAGAAAAGGAAAGGTTTGAGATATTCTTGATAAGTAAAAACTTTGACTCCTGCAAGACTTCTGCGATCTCTCTGATAAAGCACCACGGAAAGTACGCGATGATCCTTTATCTCGTGCAGAACGACCTCATGAGCTGTTCCATTTCCACGCTCGCGCTTCTTCTAAACAGAATCACCGTGACCAACTCGCTCATTTCTCTTCTCATCAGGAAGGGCGTGCCGTACTCTGTTGTCAGAAAATACATCAGGCCAGAAAAAGACGCGCACTTTCTTCTTCTCATGAAAACCCTTCTTCTCGCAGGAGAGTCCATTGTAGAGTACGGGTATCCAAGCGCAAGCGCCCTGATTAACGAGCTGGATGACTGGGAGATATACGAATACGCAATGCAGAGCGGCATCAGAATAGATGCACACTGTGCAGAAAGCCCTGTCAAAAACAAAATTTTTCTAAATAAAAATTTTCACATCCACCAAACAAAGTATGCAATGATCACAAGCCCAACAGCAGCCAGCATTGCAGCATACATCAATGCAACAAGCGCAGTAGATGCATACACAGTCACTGCCATGGCTTCACTGTCAGAGCACGATGCAAAAGATCTGGAGTCTCATCTGTCCCCCGGCTCTCAGCGTATGATGAGCCTGTACAATGGCACACCCATCCTCTCCAGCGACATCACATCTCCTGGCGGTCTCCTGCTGGTCATTGGGCTACTGCTCAGAAATAAATCAGAAGAGTCTTTGCTGGACGCTCTCGTCCTGTGCTACATGCACAGAGACACAGGCTACTATGTGCGAGTTGTGATGTGCGTGCTCTTCAGATACTTCTTTATGTACTCCCATCTCATCAACAATTTCAGCCTACTGGATGCAGAGAACATCCAAGTGGAAGGGCTGGGGTACCTTTGGAGCGACTTAGAAGTGCTGTTAGGGCTTGACCCAGGGATACACGCAGTCTCCTATATGCACACCCGGTCCAGGGCCATTGCTGACATAAATAACGGGTTTATGAAGTTCATTGAGGCAGAAGCATATTCGCAAATCGAGCCACTTCTAGCATACAGAGATGCTCTGATAGACTCGCCCATACGAAAACAAATAGCAACAAGAGAATTGCAGAAAAGCGTCTCTAAGCCAGCAATAGAGAATATTTTAATCAGCGAAGCCAGACACATATTTACAAAAATAACCAGCCCGCCTGCGGAAAAAGAGTGCAAGTTGCTGACCATCCAGCAGAAACCAAAGGAGATAGATGCAGAATGTATCCGCGCCATGGGAGAAGCAGCCATTGAGAGGGTCAAAAAGTACACAAATACATCAACAGCCGACAGACTCATATCTGACCTAGTAGAAGCACAAAGTGCAGCATACGCTGCTATAGCAGAGAGATATAAGGAATGCTACAGCAGCAAAAAGAGTTAAATAATAGACACAGAGCTAAGCAGCGTCTCGAAAAATAAAAGCTAAATTAAAGAATCGAATATTTCTGTTCTACTGCAGCTCATTCTGCCCCATCAAACCATCTCATTTTTCTTAATTAATAGCACTGTTTTCTATTCACTCTCTTCAGATACATTTATTTCACTCCTATGCTCTACCCAGCAAGTGAAAATAAAAAGCGTAAATATTTTTGTAGAATGGACGGGATAAAAGCGCTGTACACGCTTTTAGAAAGGAATGAAATGGACGAAAGGCTTCTGCAGCCAGAAGAAATAGAGTATGTTAAAAAATCCCTTGCTATCCTAGGCTACAAACTAAACAAGTGGCACGATGCAAGAACTCTTGTGGTAACAGCGAACGACACAGCAAACGAAATAGAGGGCGCAATAACAGAATACGAAGTGGCGTCACTAGACATTCTTGCGAGTGTTGCCAGTAGAAAGAAAGGAATACCGGCGGAAGAGCTAATCAACTGCACAATCACAGCAGATCTTCTGAAGAAAAGATGGCTGATAGTGGAAGACGGAAGGATCAGGCTGTCGAAAAGAACAAAAATAGAAAAAGCAGACATTCTATCGGAGAAAACAGACACAGAGATATGCTCGTTCTGCGATATTCTCAACGAAGAAGGGAACGTGCCGCACGAAGAGTGTCTGCAGTTCATAACAAACAAGAGGACGGAATGATGGCTTGTCTAGAGTGTAAAAAGGAAGAGAAAGTGGGAATATTTTAGAATTAATTAGAAGAATTATATTTTTATTTTATTTTAACCGGATGTACAAAAATGACCTTATGGGAATGGCCAATAGAGCTATGAGTGAAGTGAACGATACAGTGTTTCCATCTGGAGACATGGAAGAACATTCCAATCTATTTATTGTTTTTGGCGTTCTAGGGGTATTTGTTATTCTGCTGCTGATAGTCGTAGTGTATCTGATAATAAGAAAGACAAAAATCAACTCATCAACACTCGAAAGAATAAACAAGCTGGCAGCAGAGAATGAAAAGATAAAGGAAGAAAACAGCAAGCTGTTTGCGATAATAAGACAAATGGAGGCAGAGAAGGCAGTAAACCATGATGAAGGAATTGAGGCACAAAAGAAAGACATTGAAGAGGAAAGGAGATACTTGAATGAAGAAAGAAGGCGGCTTGACGGAGAGCTGAGAAGGATTGACAGCAAAAAAACAGAAGTAGAAGACATCTACATAAAAATAAGAAAAATAAAAGAAGAAGCAGACAGCGCAGAGAATAAATACACGCAAGAAATTGAAACTCTTAGCGAGAGAAATAAAACATTGGAAAAAGAAATTAAAAGACTTGCGGATGTAATAAAACTGTTTGAGCAGGAAAATAAAGCTGCAGAGGAAGTGCTTGTAGAAGTAGTGCAGGTATAATAGTGGCCACATTCAGTGTTCCTGAGTCCTCCAACTGAGAAAGCATTATAATTCAACTAGGTGTGATCAGTTGGCCTGCAGCTAGTAATAAAACAGCAAAGCTTTCAGTTGGCTATTTTCTTGTTACTCTGTCAGTTATTTTCCACCCATGCGAGCTGTCTGAGAGCTTTTATTGATATTTTTTATATTTCAGGAAATCGGGCAGTGATAGTGAAAAAATTGCATAAATCAACTTCCTACGTTTAATTTATTTTTAATTGCAATAATAATGGACAAGAATGGCAATTCAGGGCTGCCAGAAAACAGAGAAATAAAAGAAAGCAGAGCAACAGTCTCTACAGCGCAGAGCATAAAGGAACAAAAAGACTTGTTGTTTCCTATAGGCGCCTCTATTATTCTACTGTCTATTTTCTTGATGAAGTACAGAGAAAAAAGGAAAAAAGAAGAAGAAAAAGAAAAAGAGGCTTTGAACGATGCTGTGCAAAAATTGCAAATAGAAAATCAGCTTTACAAGGAAGAGAATGCTAAGCTTCTGTCACAGGTGGGCGGACAGCAGAAAGAGGCAGTAGAAGTAAGCCATAACTCAAAGGAAGCACACTATAGTAGAGAGATTGAAGAATTGAAAGATAGAATATCAGCAATGCAGGGGGAAAAAAGGGATAAAGAGGCTGAGATAGGCCATTTAGCAGATGATTTTGCAGCTAAGCAGAGCGAATATGAAAAAACTATAGAAGAGCTCAAGAAGCAGTTTAGTGTGCAAGGAAAGGGCATGGAATTAGAAATAGGCCAGCTAAAAGAGGAGCTGGCATCAAAACAGATCGAGTTTGATAACTTAAATGAAGACATGGAGTTTCATATAGAAGAGATGAAAATAATCATTAACGAGCTAAAAGAAGAATTGCTTAAAACAGCACCTAGTTAAGTGAAGTGTGCTTGTTTAATAAAGGGCAGACTGTTTTTGCTTCTAGCCTCTGCTCTGTCTTTACCTTCTTTCTCTACTTTTCTTGTTTGGAGAAAATAGTAAATACACTGTATTAGAATAGAAGGGAAGTAAAAGTGTCAGAGTTTAAATAAAAATTTGCAGAACTGTGCTCATAGATCACTTTAAGTATTTAATTATTTTTTTAATTTTAGGATTTGCAATGAACAAGGAAAATTCAGTACCTGTGGAAATAAATGAAGACCTGTTGACAAGAGTAACCAGAGCGCTGAGAGGAAGAGATGAAGTAGTTGTTATCCAAGAAAATAGCCCAAAACCGCACAATCTATTGCTGTCTTTTGGCATTTTCGTTGGAATAGTCGCTGCGCTTGCAATAGCATTTGTGATCTACAAATCAAAGAAGCAGAAAAAAGTGCGAGTGCCGTCTAAAGAGGATATCACAAGCACGCCAGAAGAAAAACTGAAGACAGAGCAGGAGGAGAATGCCAGCTTAAGAGCACAGATATCTAAGCTAGAAGAGAATAATAGGGAATTAGCCGCCCAAGTTGCCCAGGGAACACCAGCAGTGCAGCCAGTATATGAACAAATTCCATCAGCGGAAGCTCCAGAGGATGTTACCACTGAAAATGAAGAACCATTGACATCTGCTCCAGAAGATCTAAGAAAAGAGAAAGAAGACTTGCTAGACACTCTTCAGGAGGAAAGACAGCACTATGAATCTCAGATAGCTGTCCTAGAAGCAAAAAAACAGGAAGAGCTAGAACAGATGAGAGAGACTCTGTCGAGTGAAATAACGGCCCATAAAGAAAAGGTAAACCAGCTAACTAAAGATTTAGAGGCCCGGGATGCAAGCCATGAGGCTCAGATATCTGTCGTAAGAAAAGAGGAAGAAAAAAAGAGACTAACTCTAGAACAAAGAGTAGCAGAGCTATTAAGTGAAATAGAAGAGTTGAATACTAAATTTGAGAAAAAGGCAAAAGCATTAACCAAAGTAAAGGCAGAGAAAGAAGAACTAGAAGGCGAATTCAAAAGTTTGAACTATAAAAAAGAAGAGTTAGAAAAGAAACTCGGCGAGGTAGATAAAGTTCTACAAGCACAGCTCAAAGAGTATAAAGACACCTTGATAGCACAAGGAAAAGAAGAGATGCAGAAGTTTGAGGAAGAGAGAAAGAAGATCGAAGCAGAGCTGAGATCTAAAGTAAGTGAACTTGAGCAGAAAAACAAAGAGCTCCAGGAAGCTCTTGATGCACTAAAAAGAGAAAAGGAGGAATCCCAGCCGTCTCAAAACTCTGAGGAACAAGAAGCTGAAACCGAAGTTAGCAGCGAAGAATGAAGCATCAATCTACAGTAGTTAGCTAAAAATTATTTATAAGTTATACTTACTTCCACTGAAATAAATTAATTTGGCAAAACACTTTTTCTTTTACTGTTCTTGCTGTTTCTGCACATTGACAAACTATAGCATTGTTTGAATATTGCCAAAACCATTAGACTTGACAATAGATGCTTGTTTTTCTCTCAAGCAACTCTAACTTTTATGGCTCCAATGAAAGCTACTGGTATTCTAAAGAGAAGATAAAGAATCCCAAAGTCCTTTGGCTTAAATAAAACTGATCTGTGTTTTTATTGGTTTTTTTAGCAGGGGATATAAAGAAAATTTTTTATTGAAAATGTAATGGCTCAAGAAGTGATAACAGATAATTTAGAAACAGCACAAACAGAGGAAAACATAGCAGCGTCTTCAAATAAAGCATTTGAGATAATCAAGAGCGCTGTGCTCGCTCTAGGGGAAGGAGAAAGACAAACCAAGCTGTTAATAGTCATTGGCGCTAGCGGTTTTGTGCTATTGGCTATTATTGCAATAGTAGTAATAATGCATAAACCAAAGAAAAACAATGAAGAAGTAGAATATATTAAAAAAATAAAAGGATTAGAAGATAGAATAAAAGAATATATCAAAAGAAAAGGATACTCAGAGTCAACCCATTTTCCTTATGTAGAGTATGAGAACAAAGAGCTACAAAATCTAGAAGACAGAAAGAAAAACATTCCCATACAGATTGATGAAGAAGAAAAGAGATTTGAAGAGACCAAACAGTCTCTTGAAGCTAAACTAAATAAGCTGAGAGAACAAAAAGCACAGCAAGAAAGCTCTGATGACAAAAAGACAGACTTTAGCATAAAAAATCTGTTAGAAGAATTAGAGAACAATAAGGAAAATTCTAAGGAGACATTAAACGAGCTAGATAATAAATTAAAATTAACATGTTCGTCAATAGAAACTAAAATAAAAAATCTTGATGATGAAAATGAAAGATTTGCAAAGCAAAGAGAACAACTTGAGAATAATATAGCTAAGTGTAAAAAAGACATTGAAGAGACAAAGCTACAGCAGAATAAAGAAAAAGAGCCAGAGAAATAGGATTGCTATTTAAGAAATCAGCAGCAAAAGATCAAGAATGCGCCTCTAAAAGCATCCTCTGTAACTATTCAAATAAAAATAAAAATAGATGTTGAACATAGACGCATTATTTGCTAAAGTTTCTCTCTTTTGCATATACTAAATAGGGACTGTTATTTGTCTATCCAATGCACTACTGCTATTCTGTTTGAGAGAATAAGGTCTCAAGTGAAAATTATAAATAAAAAAATGTTATTTTTACCATGAAAAATCAGAAATTAAGGGCTATACTGAATGCGGTAACTGTGGTGCTTATTTTCTTTACCATGCTGTGCAGAGGAGGTGGAGATGCTCTCAATAGTCCAGAAGAAGTAGCTAGCACACCTGAAGATAGAGATGCATCGGTAACAGAGAACGACCTAGGTTTTAACTGGTTTGTGGCAGACTCGAATGGCGCCCATATATGGGATCTAACAAAAGCAATAGAAGAGTTTAGGGACATATACCACCCGCCCTCACCGTCTGAAAAAGAAGCTACTGAGTGCGGCACCTCTCTTGCTTCTACGGAGAAAAAAAAGAGCGCAAGATCGGCTGTAAGAAGAAAAAGAAAAGCACAGAAAGATGAATCTGTGCCTCAGCCTGCACCAAAGAGCAAGAAAGAAGGCAGCAGACTGGAGAATGTTAACATCAAATTGTGGAGTGACGTGCGGTTGACCAATAAAAGAAGAGCAAACAGCACAAACAACCACAGGACAATATACTTGGACAGGGATGGCAAGTTCAACGAATGCGTGCTCCTTGAAATAACAGAAGGCGCCTACCAGGAGAAAATCAGAGAATATCTGGAAAAATTTTCAGAAAACATTGCCCCTCGAATAGAGAAAAACGCGCTGTGGTACTTCATTGCGTGCAGAACGTCAAATTTAAATACAAGAAAAAAAGACCTTTTGGGATTGAAAGAGCTGCTCAAGGAAGAAAGCAGAAACAAACATAAGAAAATGTTGATGGATCTCCAAGGATACTATCCCAATGTGATTGACGACATGCTGGCATATGTGGAAAAACATAAGCCGCTGAGAGCCAATAAACAACGCCCTCCAACTGTATGGAACAAAACTTTGGGAGACATTTACATACAGAGAGGGCTTGATTTGAACTATGCGATGGTGGAAGAGCAGGACAAGATCAGCCAAGAATACAGAAAACACTCAGCCTTGGCGTATGCTCTGCGAATGATTCTCGCACTACCTGAAGTGCATCAAGACTTTTCCAAGATCAGCACAGTATTTATAGAAGCTACAGAGGTGTATAAAAGCTTTTCTAAAAACAAAAAAGCACACAAAGTCCTACTAGCCATACACACACTAGTAAAGAAGTCTGCAGAGAGCAATAAAAAAATAAAAAGTGTGTATGAGGTCATTCACAGCACTCTTGAAAGTATGCAGAAAAAAGACAAAAAAAAGGAGAAAACAGTCTCTGAGTTATACAGAGATCTGTACATGATTCTTGCAGATTTCTATGCAAAAGCAAAAGTTTTTGATGATAAAAGATATATCTTGGCGGGCAAGTGTGCTATAAAACATCAAAAATACATCAGATGTGAAGCAGCCCTAGAGTTTGCAGCAGACGGCTCTTTCAAACAACTCCGTGCTCCCAAATATTCACCAGAGATGGATAAGTGGGATGTTTCGCCAGGCGTAAAACCACACTATCATGTGCACTACGTAGACAACGAAACACACCGAGGTAGAAGACTGTGCATGCCCATATATAAAAAAGACGGTAGAGACGATGCGTGCTATATGCATACAATTGATGCTACAATAGAGTACATAAAGAATTTATATGGAATAGAGAAAAATATTCTGCACCCTTTTAAAGTAAAAAAAGGAACTGATGAATGGTCGTACATCGATGCAAGTGACCGAAGTAAAACAGCGGAGGATTTAGCAGAGCACGAGATAGTGTTCTACCGCATTGAAGAAGACCTGAAAACAGTGAAGTTTACATTTGCGAAGTTTAAGCCTTTAGTTCAGCACGGCAAGGACAGCATTGGCATACCCCTCTTCCTTACGCGTTTAATGCGATCTGCTATAGATCTAGGCCCGTTTGTTATGGAAGGCGAGCACTCGGAGATAAGTTTGGGAGCAGAGTTTAAGAATGCAGTGCCCGGTGTGTACAATTTTAACGATATTTATAAAAAAGACGAATACTCGGATGTGCATGGATACTACAGCAATCTATACATACTGCCTGATGCAAAAAAAAGAAAGACCTTTGACTGCTACACCATGGACTGTCAGACGGTTCTGGAAGACACAACCACTAAAGCTGTGTGGTATGTGAATATGACGGACAGTGAAAATGCGTACACACACTGTCTGCCAAATGAAAAGTTCAAAGAAGAAGAAAATTCTGGGGAGATTGCTGGCTTTATTAACACACTGGGGTCAAGACAGTATAACAGAGACAGCAACCTACAGAGCATTTGGCTGAAAAATAGTGGCTTGGAAGACAATAAGCCAGAAAACCACACACAAAAAATCCATACGTGGCTGATAAATGCTATAGAGTATGATGAATCTAAGCTGAGAGACAAAGAAATAATTGAGAAGAAAATAAGAGTCTTTGAAGAAAGCGTTCGAAGATCAGAGAAAAGGTTCACAGCACTAGATGGGAAAATAAAAGAGCTGAAAAAGCAGGGCAATAAAAACAAAAACAAAATAGTAAAGCTAAATAAGGAAAAGAAATCAGCTGGCTGTATAAAATATAAATCAAAGAAGAATATAGAAGAGCTGCGCAGAGAGCTACACGAAGTAGTGTCTGAAAAGCCAGATGAGCAGGTAGAGCTCATAGTATTCCGGAACGTGAACAGCAGCAACTCCAACCTGGGGGCACACAATGAAATTCTTGATCCTTTGATCTCGGCCTATAACAAGTAAAAGAAGTTTATAGAAAATAAATAGCTTGCTTAAGTGTGCATCTTTTTGTGTTATCAATGATTTAAATAGTTGTGTAGTAGTAAGTAGAACAGCTGATGAATTATCTGCTTTCTAGTACAATTTGTTAATGTTAAGAAAACAGACACAAAGTGTTCTTTATATGCCTGAACACCTCAGTTGTTTATTCATCGCATAAAGTATTATACTATGAGAGCAAAATGAAAATAAAAAAGAAAAGTTAAGTATATATGAATGAATAGGTAGAGCTTTACTTTTTATTTTTATTGCCAATAAGTAAATATTTGAAAGAAAAACTATAGCAGCAACCATAAGAGAACACTTGAATATCACTAATCTTGAGTGAAGACATACAAATTGTGACGTCTACCTATAGAAAAATAGAACAGCACCAATAAAAAATGGATCAATTAAATGACAATAAAGTCCTGGGGAAAATGCTTCCATAACAGTAAAAACAGTAGAGCACCAATCAGTTATCTTCACAAACACATCAATAGGATGCACCTACTCCGTGAAATTACAAGAATTAAATATAAAAGAAGACGTTTTAACTGATTTATGATTCTACAGCAAACGCTGAAGCACATAGCAATAGGATTTATCGCGCTGGCTTACTTCCAAAGAGCTGCCTGTGCAGACTTGCTAGAAGACCTACAAAACATAAAAAAGTATTTGAACAATAAGAAAGATTGCATAGAAATAGGTATAGAAATCCGCAGTGATTTTATTGACAGACTAAAAGCTTCTTGTACGGACAACAAGCTACTATATGATTTTTTTAACAATGGTATAAAGGAGGGAAAAGAAAAGCTGGAAAAGGTCCAAGAAGCATCAGATGCTCTTTATGACGGTATACAACCCATGGTGGGAGAAATAGAAAATCTGGATGAGTTAAAATATAGCAGTAAGTTTAGCGAGAAAGTAAAAGGTTTACACAAACAGATGATGGAGGATTCCCTTCCAGTAGGGCTTGATATGAGCAATTCAGTGAGCAAGTGCATGCAAAAATTCGATTCTCACATGCTTGAGCTAATAAGTCAATACAATGAAGTATTTAATGGCAAAAGAAGAGTAGAAGATCTAGCACTGTTTAAGCTGGCAAAGAAGAACAAGCCGCTGGCTGCTAGCATAATATACTCTCTTTTCAGAACAAAGCCATATGAAACAGATAAAGAGCTGAAAGACGCACTGGATTATATATATACAAAAATGGAAAATCATGTTTTTTCATCAAATCTAAAAAGCTACAGTGAAGCTATAAAGAGAGATGCAGAGAAGAATAAACTGGATGTACTGAAATTCGCAGATAGACACCTCCACATACTATTTCATACATCTGGGGGCAGCGCAGATGAAGTGGCAATCTATCTTGATCTGATAAACAAGAAGCTTTCTAGCGAAGAAGTATGGAAGTATATAAGAACAATAATACCTGCACAAGTTATAAAAATAATAATGATGGAGTACGAAATTAACATGAACGGAGGCCTGATGGACTATAAAAAGAACCTTTTATTTTCAAATCTTGGAAGGATAATACATATTGTAGCCAAAGACAGTGAAGTAACCAAAAAAATGCCAGGAAAAACACAGAGCGACATTCTTGATCTTCTGACTCTTCTGTGGAGTAAATACGGAGTGGAAGAAGCAAGAATGCAACATGCCAGAAGTGATATGGAATTGCTAAAACACTATAACATCAAAGAAGATGACTTTTTAAGCATGCAGCGCGGTTTTATGTCTACCAGCTGGATGTTTGACATTTCTGGATCAGCACAGCACAATGTGCATGATGATAAGAATAAAGTTGAAAAGCTCTTTGACATCTGCTACACCCACCCTATGCTGTATCTATACAAACGATGCGAGAGTATAAGCAAAGAGGCTAAGAAAAAAAAGCAGTCCAATGAAAAACCTTTTATGGAAGAAGATTCAAATGGTATTTCTATGCTTAGACTGTACAAAATAAGTAGTAAAGACAGTGATGAGGTATGGGTGCAGAATATAAAAAGCTGCATCAAGGCATGGTTTTCACAGTACACCAAAATTATCTACAAAAGAGAAGACGGCCAAGACTATGAGATAGTAGCTAATAGCTTTGTCATTTATTTGGAAAAGTCAGTGTATTTTGCAAGAGGGCGTGCAGTTACTAGCCCTGAGTAAGATAAGTGCAGCCTCAACTAGAAATGTGCATAAATATGCATCTATTAAACTGCTACTCTTTCCTGCAATTTCATCTTGTCTATAAGAAGAATAATAGCTAGGATTTTGAAGTATAGACTTTTGTGGAAAGACCAAATAGCAACTTGGTAGTGTCATGCTTTTTTGTAGATAAATAATTGTATATTGAAGTCTTAAAATAAATTCAAGTAAGACAATTTATTTTTCTTTCCAAGTTTTCCTCTTGTTTATATGCCAATAATGATTTTGAATAAGCGTCTCTTTTGAGCACTTGAAATACGATCAGTGTTAGTTTTTTCAACTAGCATCAGCTGTTTCTAGTGCTTAACTTTAAATATTTTTACTATTTCTGCCTTCAGAGATTGTGTATGTATTTTATGCAACTGTTCATAGGTTCCATTAACTTAAAATAGTAAGCTGAAAAATAAAAGAAAGAAGTTATTACATACTCATGCAATACTGTTTAGTACACTGTATTTATTTAATCTGCAAAGTATAATCACTGCTTTTTCACTACTAGGGGGCTTCTGCGCTTATATATAGAGGTTAAAACATCAAATAGCTCATTGTGTGCACCTAGATTAGACTTTGTGCTGTTTATGTTTCGAAACACAATGAACTCACTTTCCTGACTGGGTTTGGTACATAGATATTTTTTTAGGTCAGCTATTTGTCCTTTAAATCTTGATATAGAAGCCCTTTTTACGCTCATTTTTTTTTCAAGATCTCCTTTATTTGGATCTTTATTTAGGTCTTTATTCACATCTTTCTTTTTACTTGCTTTTATTCCTGCCAGATCATTTTCTTCC